GGAGACTTAGAGTGGGGGCTGTGTGCTCAGCGGAGGAGGCAGAGTGGAGGTGATCTGGAGCGGGGAGCGGTTCCCCTGTGCACCCCCCACGTTACTGCGGGTGTCCCTCCCCGTGCCCCCCCGCCCCAGCTCACCTCCACTCCACCTCCTTGCCTGAGCGGGCTTTTAGGCCCCCCCAACCACTAGGCGCCATAGGCAGCCGCCTAGTTTGCCTAAATGGTTGCACCGGCCCTGTATAAGCCAGCAAAAACCTAAGGGCACAAGTACAACAGCCTTGTTATCTCTCCATTTTTTTTTTTTGAGCTTAGGACTCTGAGAACAGGAGTCAATCTAGTCACTAGACTGTGGCTCAACAAGTCTATAAGGGCCTGGATGGCCTTTATTTAGTGACTATACTTTTAGTTAATACTATTATTTGTTCAGTACCTTATTGTCAGATTCAGCATCAGTGAAAAATACACTCTCCTCTAGGAACACCACCTTTCAACCTTTTAGTTAGTTTTCCTTCCTCATAGTCCCTTCATTCATACATCTCCTTTGGATTTCATTTTCTGCAGTAACTCCTATCTCCCACTTCCTTATGGTCTTCACTCCCACCTGTTTCCCCATTCTATCTGCTAATGAATTAGTAATTAAATGCATAATGTTGACACTCCAATGAGATTAATGGGAGACAATCTATTTCACACTTCTGAGTAATTGTTTCTGGTTGTCCACAGACTTGGCCAGACAGCATTACATCAGTTACAATCATTTGACAATTAGAAGGTCTTCCTCATGACCACGAGGGCAAGAAACTTACTTACTTAAAAAAAGTAAAAGATTAGGTTATGCACAATCTGATATTATGCTGGCCACATAAACACAACTATCTGGCTGGATTTGGCTCAAGGCTGTATGCTTGACATCCCGGCACTAGGTGATTTAAATGTTAAAAAACGAAAACTCTCATCTTAATTCAAACAGCAGCAATCAGCCAATTAGGGAGGCAGTTTGGAATCAGTTCCCTCACCCCATGTAATGTTCCTGGATTTCCTTTTTGTCTCCTCAGTAGTTTCCCACACCCAAAATGCTGGGTTGTGGCTGGTTTCTTTGTTGTGGATTTTGATACCACCTGCAAGAAGAAGGTAGGGCAAGATAAACAGGATTAAAAATACACTATCTGTTTCTGTCTCTAGCACACACAGACCCTGCGAACACCAAGAGCAGCATCTGGACAACCTTCTCAGCAAGACCATAATGAATACACATTAACCCAATGTTTTAATATCAGGTATTAATCTTTAATTCCACATCACAGCAGTCGAGTGAATGGGGAAGGAAAAAAAACCAGCAGATATTTACATCTAAAATTCACATCACTTATTTGTTGGTTCTGGAAACATGCTATCACAATATATACAATGAAATACCTTTAGGACACTTGTTCAAATTCTTTTTTTTCTTTTACGTTTGCTTTCCATTATAGTTAAGAGAGCTTTTTTTAATTTTTTTTTTAACATGAATACACAAAAGAGAAGTGGTTAGAGGTTTTTGCCTTTTTTAAATAAGCACAGAATGCCAGAGGTTAAAAACACATTTACAGGGCAGAGTACCAGTCAGACAGCACGATCTATACATTTTTTGCTCAATTTCCTGTACAAATACACAGCATTCAAATGGGATATATACAAAAAAAAGCATGATGGAAGGGAAATTTAAATATCACACTTTTTTCCTGCTTCTGCCCTACAGCCTTTCCAATTTGGCTGCCCCCTCTCCCCCCGACGGGTATGTAGTAACCCCTTCCCCACCCAAAGGGGGAAATAAAGGTTAAACAAAACAAACAAACAAAAGAGGAAAAATCCTATGGTCTTGCACCTAGCAACACAACCAAAACATTCTTCCAACCAATGAGCAACTAATGTGGCAAATTAATGCAATTCTTCTCATTGCTTCGCCTCCATCATTGCCTCTGCCCATTCCTTTTTCTCCAGACAGAGGGTGTAAACACCAATGGTGGAAAGTTTAATAGCCCGTGCATTCAGGAGAGAAGTGGTAGCCCAAGAACCCAAAAGAAGTATTTTCCATTTCAAACTTGGTACATGAGTTTGGAATGACCATGTTCCTTGTAAATTATGTCTATTTACTATAGTTACACAGAGCACAGCAACAAACCCTGGCGGCCAAATTCAGCCCTAATTCAGAAAATGTAGTTGTGTCCGCTTACCCCAGGGCTGAATTTGGCTTTAATTTTCATGCTTCTATTGGCCAAGCATACTTGCCCCAGAGAGTAGTATGAGTTTCACATCCAAATCTTAATTATAATAGAATCTCCCCCACCTCCTTCTCTTCCCACCCCACTCCCCACTGCCCTCTGAAATTAGGCATTTAAAAAGAATACACAAAGTATTTTGCAAAAATGTGACCATGATTCTGAATAACTCCTTGGAGACGCAAATCTAATATGTTTGTGTTAACTGAATTTGCTCCTTCATGAAACTTGGTGGCTATGGACCCGCTGTAAAATTGGCTGACATCTGTTTATATAAGCTAACTGATCATCTAACTTTTAGAAAAAGCCTTTACCAAAAAAATAAAATAAAATCACACATCAAAGCTGGGCGTCTCCATGCCAGACACTGTCCTTCCAATCAGCGCAGCATGATATGCCTTAGGGAATCCCTTAAAACTCTGGTTAGCAGTTAGTCTAAACATCCAGCTAGTGGGACTGACTAGAGCTAACTCAAATGTTAACTCCAACTTACTCACAAAGCTTTATGCGCAGACACCTTATTTTTTGCTCTAAAGGAGAGCTTACATTTCCAGATACAATAACGTTTAACCCTTCTATCAAAAAAGGAAAATAAGTGTCTTGTTCTAATAAAGTTTCATATGAAGATCCTGGGCCAGATTCTCAGACGGTGTAAGATCAGAATATTCCATTCATTTCAATGGAGTGACACTGATTTACACCACCTGAGACTGGCTCTTAAGAGCTTCACCATTTTTCATTTCTACTCAGACCTGCCTTGGCATTTATGCTAGAGATGAAATGCCCATTGTGGACCAGATTTTAAACCTGTGTTTCAATGGTGAAGGATACAATGATTCCAGGTGTCCTGCTCTAGGAAAGGTAAAGGAAATGGGATAGATCTTTTTCTACCCAGGCAGGCCAATTAAGAAACAAAACCAGAACAATATTTCTTTTGCATGGGTTAGAGCTTGAGAAAGAATAAATGAACTATCTCAACACCCGCTCTATACAATGGCCACCTGAGTCCAAACTTGATACAGATTATCATTTTCAGGAGAATTTGGAAATGGTGTATTTGACCAGTCACTTTGCATAGAGGTAGTGCTAAAGATGACTTGCAAAGGGAAAAAAAAGTTTCCTTTTTTGCTTCTTTATAATGTTTATGATATATTGGAAACAGCATAGATGGATATTTTCTTCCCTATTTTTGCTGGAAGATTTCTCAAAAGACTTGAGAACTGGGAAATTTCTCAGCCCTCAAATAAAATGGCAGTTTTATTCGATCTTTCACCAACAAAGTTTTTCTCCCATTTGTCAGGTACTAAGCAGGTGTTAAACAAAGAAAACAAAAAACCCTAGAACTTAAAACAACCCGACTAAAATTCCCTTCCCCACTCCACTGCTCTGGTCTCAATCTCTTGCTTTGTGTCATATCATAATTGCACTAAATTCTACAGTTCTTCACAGAGTCTGCCAGCAAAAAAGGGAAGTCAAGACTGGATATTTGTGCAATGTAAAAAACAGAGGGGAAAAAACCCTTACAATAAAACAAGAAAAACTTTTCAAGCCTTCTTTACACACCATAAAGAAGCAAAAAAGGGAATAAACATCTCCCCCCTTTCCCCTGACAGTTCATCTTTAAAATCCCTGAAGCTGGAGTGCACACTACACACTGGGCATTTCTTCCAGCTATCTGAAGGGAGAGATGGAGGCATTGAGCCGCAGCAGCAGCAGTGAAATGTATCAGAAGGGCACATAAGATATTACAGTAACAAACACAGTTAATGGATGTTGGTGTGGATTGTGCAGACTTTCAATCCTGAGGCAAGGACTGGATATGATGTATTCAAGCCTTCTCTTCTTACTTGCTGAGACATCAATCAAGCAGTTGTGGAATGAGCCACTCAACTGGTTACTTGACTGGAATAAAAGTGCTGGTTACAACCACTTGCCCAGAGCTAGGCATGGGAAAAGGCTCAGAATTGGGTTGCAGCCCTAAAGGCTACATAACCCACTCTTACCCTGCAGTAAAGGTGGATATGGACTATGACTCCAATGGAAAAGCAGGCTGGTTTACCCAGTAAAAAAATGAAATTACGGAACAAAAACATGAAAAACCAAAGTACATGTCCATGAAAAACCAAAGGAGGCAGAGTTTATTTGAAATGATACCTCAGAAATCAATATGGAAGCCTGTCAGCACTGGTTAGATCATTTCATCACAATTGAGTCAATGCAGGAGACTACTATAATGCTGTTTATGGTCCCACACCTGGAAAAGACAGTTTCTTCATAGAACAGCCAAGTTTCCATTGCCTGCAGAGAATGCACCTTCCAGCCTGACAGTTCATGGAATCCCTGAATTCAGCAATAAGCTTTCACTTCTATGCGGCAAAGAAACATGTCCCTAGTGCAACTGCTTCTACTTGTGTGCGTCTCAAAACCAGGAGGAAAGCTTTTTAAAACAACTTGCCACATCCCCCCTTCAATATTCCAATTCTTTTCAGTTTCTGCAAGTCTCTATGGCTAACAGCTTACATGCCACTTTGTGTGGTCTGATAAACTGCAGAAGGAATAAAGCACCCACTGCACACAAAAATAATAATTAAAAATAACAAAACCAAAAAGTATAAAATGCAATAAAAAGGAAAGCAGCAACCTCACATGCCAGCCCAAGCTTTGTATGGGCTCTGGACAATAACTCATGGCAGTAGAAAGTAAAGAATTGGATCTCTGTTCTCTCCTCTGAGTCCTGAACTTTTACGTCTTTCTTCCGATCAGACCTGGAATTACTACACAAGCTTCTTTCCAGGTAGTCCTGCTTACTGCTCACTGATGCCATGCTCCCATGCTACCCTGGCCTGCTCCTCCTTTCCACCACTAGCTGGTTGGGAGACTTTGCGATGCAGTGGCCGGTGTTTGTCTTCCTCTTCCATCATCAGCATCATTTCCTCTTCATTCTCCATGTTTGGGAGCCGAGCATGATATGGTTTTGGGGGGAGAGCTGGAGGGTCCATAGTGTCCTGAGGAATGACTCCAGATGGAGCAGAGTGGCTTCGACATGGCTGGGATTTGAGTGACTCCAGAACATCAGGTTCAGAGAGACTGTACCTGACAGGGAGGTAGGGTGTCTCTAAGTCTTCATCAGTATTCCAGGCCTGGCTAGGGACAGAATCCATGGTGTCTGTGCGAGGAGGGGGCTCAGATGAGTGTCCAAAGTTACTCTCACTTAAGGAGGACACACCACTGCTGGCACTGCCTGACAGAGTGGAGTTACTTCCATCCAGGCCAGACTGGGGACTTGTGGGTGATGCAGGAATTGGATGAAGAGGAGACTGTTTAAAGAAAAACACATGTTAACATCCGTGATCGGGCAATTTTGCACCTCAGCAGCCATGTTTCATTGTTTACAGCTCATTAGTTACTGCCTAATTGCTTTTGTGCTTAAGAAAATAAGAAATCTGAGCCATTTGTAACACGCACACACCTGATTTCCATGTACAAATACCTGTTTGTACAGGCAAATGTGTTTTTCCTGTATGCATGATCAAAAGGTAAAAAACTAGTGGTCATGGTGGTGATACCCTCTTCTCCAGCCCTATTTAACATGTCCTACATCCTAGCATTCTCCATTCACCACACCTGCCTTGCTAGGACCTCCTACATTCTGTAAATATCAGGGTATTTATGTAAAATCTTGCAACACAAATATTACAGTGAAAACATTAATAATGTGTTACAAGTTTTTACACATTGATTTATTTTTTCAGGAGTTTTGCTATTTAGAAGTTAATAATTGCTATTTATTAAAACTGTTTCAGTAGCTATTTCCTTTCCTTAGTTCAAGAGTACATATTAACTAGCTTCCTTTTGTCTTTTTATTTTAAAAGATTTAATGCCACACTGTGTATCCCCGCCCTGCTTAATGCATGCTGTCTCCCCCCAAATCCTGTAGCACTCATTGTGGGCATCTCCACATTTATCTTATTTCTGTCTTTTCCAATTTTCTCTTCTCTCTCTCCTTTTTTGCTCCTTTTCCCTCTCTCCTCTCTCTAGTCTTTCTTAGCTGTCTCTTTTCTGAGGTTATGTCTATATTTTTCCTGTCGTTTCTCTATTCTCCGTGTCCAATCCTCTCCCCAGCTCGAACCAAACTATCTGCAGGTGAGGTCCAATGAGGTCTGATGGGATATCAGTCAGTTTGGCAAGTGGATCTGCAGCTATCCAGCCCTGTCCCCAATCTTCTCTGAGGCTGTGAGGAAGTGGCTCCACCCAAGCAGGACCTTCCACAGCCATAAAGATTTTTGGTCTGTGATTTTATACTCTCATTTCTCTTTCGCTTCTCCCTCTGCTTCTTTTCCTTGTATTCTGTGCTGCTTTATTCCCCTCTTCTTCTCTTCCCTTTACTGCTTCTCCTCCCAGCCTGCATGCTGCTCTGCTGTCTGGCTTCTCAGAGATGAAGTAAAAGTAAAAAGTTCTCTGAAGCTCAATAGCAGTAAATGTCAGAGAGTTTTGTTAATTTCACACTTGCAATCACCTGCTCTGCTCCTCTCTCTACTCCACTGCTGATGCACACTGAGCAGGGGGTGAGGAAAAAGAACAAAAGGGGAGCAATTTCTAAAGCACTCATCAAATCTTGTTAATTTCAGTTTACTGCTCTGCTGGGAGTAGCACACAGACAGACAGGAGTTTTAGAAAGCATCAGTATACAGCCTACTGATGTATATTGGCCCACCCAACTCATTTGCCAGCACGTTCATGCAGGTGCACCTGTTGTGTGCATGTTTGAAAATCTGGCCCTAAAGGCAATAGCAATGCATGAACACTGTTAGCAATTTGTTTGCTCTCTAATAAATAACACTCTCTTTGGCAGATTGATTCTAGAGATTTTATTATTTGATGAAAAGGACTGATTGCAGAGACAGCAGGCTAAGCATTAGTTTTACTGTACATTGCGTTCCTTCAAAACAATGAGTTCCAGATGAGGTCACAGACCCTTTGTTTTCTGTATGTATCAGGAAAGAGTAAAGGACAGTTACCTGTTCCGTAATTGGAGTTCTTCGAGATGTGTTGCTCAGGTGTATTCCACAGTAGGTGTGCGTGCTCGCCATGTGCACCTGTGCCGGAAGGTTTTCCCTTAGCAGTACCCGTAGTGGGGAGCACCGCTGCGACCCCTGGAGTGGTGCCTCTATATCGCGCCATAAAGGGGGCTGCGCGCTCCCCCACCCTCAGTTCCTTCTTGCCAGACAACTCCGACAGAGGGGAAGGAGGGCGGGATGTGGAATACACCTGAGCAAAACATCTCGAAGAACGCCAGTTACGGAACAGGTAACTGTCCTTTCTTCTTCGAGTGATTGCTCAGTAGGTGACTCCAAGCTATATCTGATGGAGGCGGGTAGGAGTTTAAGGGTTATTCGGGCGGAGCACCGCCCTACCAAACCTGGTGTCATCCCGCGTTTGGGAGACGATCGCATAGTGCGATGAAAAGGTATGGACAGAGGACCATGTAGCAGCCCTGCAGATGTCCTGAATGGGGACATGAGCCACGTAGGCCGATGACGAGGCCTGAGCTCTCGTCGAATGAGCCTTCACTATATTAGGCAGGGGAACCCCTGCCAGGTCATAACACGTGCGAATGCATGAAGTGATCCAGCGGGAGATCCGCTGGGAGGAAACCGGTAGCCCCCTCATGCGCTCGGCTGAAGCAATGAAAAGCTGAGGGGATTTCCGGAATGGCCTGGTCCGGTCTAGGTAAAAGATCAGCGCTCTACGCACATCTAGCATGTGCAGGCGTCGTTCCTCATTGGAGGAATGGGGCTTAGGACAGAGGACCAGGAGGAAAATGTCCTGATCCATGTGAAAAGCCGAGACTACCTTCAGCAGGAAGGCTGGGTGCGGGCGGAGCTGGACCTTATCCCTATGGAAGACCGTATACGGGGGCTCGGAGGTCAGGGCCTTAAGCTCCGAGACCCGGCGGGCTGAGGTGATAGCCACCAGGAATGCCACTTTCCACGACAAGTGGGACCAAGAACATGTGGCCAAGGGCTCGAAAGGGGGTCCTGTGAGGTGGGAGAGCACTAGGTTCAGGTCCCAGGGCGGGACCAGGGGTCTAGCGTAAGGGAAAGCCCGATCCTGCCCTATTAGGAACCGGGACGTCATGTGGTGTGAAAACACCAAGTGGCCCTGCACCGGTGGGTGGAAGGCCGAAATGGCCGCCAGGTGCACCCTGACCGAGGAGGGCACCAGCCCCTGGGATCTAAGGGACAGGAGGTAGTCGAGGATGAGCTGGAGAGATGCAGAGGAGGGGGAGGAACCCCTCTCCCTCGCCCACATGGAGAACCGATACCATTTGGCCAGGTAGGTTCGACGTGTGGACGGCTTCCTACTCTCAAGCAGGACCTGTCTAACATCCTCGGAACACCTCCCCTCCTCCTCATTCAACCATGGAGCAGCCACGCTGTCAAGTGGAGTGCGGCCAGGTTGGGATGGAGGAGACGTCCTCCCTCCTGGGAGAGGAGGTCTGGTCGAAGCGGCAGCCTGTGCGGGGGGGCCACTGAAAGCTGCAGGAGGGTCCCGTACCAATGCTGATGGGCCCAATCCGGGGCTATGAGGATAATCCGCACCCCGTCTGCCTTCACCTTCTGTAGGACTTTGCCTATCAGGGGAAAGGGCGGGAAGGCGTAGAACAGGCAGCCCGACCATGGGATTAGGAACGCGTCCGATATCACCCCTTCGCCCTCTCCCGCTCTGGAGCAGAATCGTGGGCATAGGCGATTCTGGGCGGTGGTGAACAGATCTACCTGGGGAGTACCCCACTGTAGGAAGAGCCGCCTGGCCACCTCCATGTGTAGGGACCACTTGTGTTGTTGGGAGAAAAACCTGCTTAGGTGATCTGCGAGCATATTGCGCTTGCCGGGCAGGTGAAAGGCCCTTAAAAGGATGTCGTGGGCTATACAGAACTCCCACAGGAGCTGGGCTTCCTGGCACAAGGCCACGGAACGTGTGCCCCCTTGCCTGTTGATATAATACATCGCAGTCGTATTGTCCGTGAGGACTCTGACCACCTTCCCTCCTAGGTGCTGGCGGAAGGCCACGCACGCCAGGCGTACCGCCCTGAGTTCCCTGACATTTATGTGCAGGGACAATTCCGGGGGCGACCATCTGCCCTGGGTTTTGAAGTTCCCCACATGGTCTCCCTATCCCAGGTCCGAGGCGTCCGACACCAGATCTAGTGAGGGAGGGGGCTCTCGGAAGGGGATACCTTGAAGCATGTTGCTCGGGAGGGACCACCATTGCAGGTCGGCCACTACGTTGGGTGGCAACATGACGACCTTGTCCAGGCCTTCCCTGGCCTGGGAATAACGGGAGGCCAGCCAGAGTTGGAGGGGCCTCATCCTGAGCCTGGAGTGTCGCACCACGGAGGTGCATGCTGCCATATGGTCTAGGATTTGAAGACACACCCGTGCCGTCGTCACAGGGAAGGCCGTGACCGAGGCGATGAGACCTTTGAGCGTCTCGAACCTGTCCCGGGGGAGGGAGGCCGTGGCCACCATCGAGTCTAGCAGCGCCCCTATGAAGTGTATGCGCTGAACTGGAACTAACGTGGACTTCTCGTTTACCACTAGGCCTAGACTCGTGCATGTATCTAGCAGGAATTCCATCTGCGTCCTGCACCTGGGATCGAGACTTGCCCTTGAGCAGCCAGTCGTCCAGGTAGGGGAAGATTTGCAGCCCGTTCCTCCTTAGGTGGGCTGCCACTACTGCCATGCACTTGGTGAAAACCCTGGGGGCTGTGGAAAGGCCAAAGGGGAAGACCGTAAACTGGTAGTGGTCTGTCCCCACCAGGAAGCAGAGGAAGCGCCTGTGGCCCTCGAAAATGTGGATATGGAAGTACGCATCCTGGAGGTCCAGGGCTGCGAACCAATCTCCCAGGTCCAGGGACGGGACAATAGAGGCCAGGGACACCATATGGAATTTGCAGCGAACCAGGAACTGGTTGAGATTCCGCAGGTCGAGGATGGGTCTGAGCCCGCCTTTCGCCAGAAATACCGGGAATAAAACCCTTTGCCCTGGAATTCCTCTCCACCGCGCCTAGGGTGAGGAGGCGAGTCACCTCCTGACTTAACAGAAGGGCATGCTCCGGGTCCCCCGGGGCATCCCGGGTCGGAGGGAGGTGCGGTGGGGTTGAATCAAACTGCAGTCTGTACCCCTCGGAAATGGTACTGAGGACCCACCGGTCCGACGTTATATGGGACCAATGTACTCTGAAGGCAGATAAACGGTTGCCAAAAACCAACTTTATTAACTGGGGTGGGGGGTTTCCCTGGCAACAGGCCGGGTGGCCCCCCGCAAACAGTCAAAAACGCCTCTTGCCCTGCCTCTTGCCCTTCGAGGGTCCAGGGCGAGGGGCCGAGTGGGATTGACGCTGTGATCTGCACCTCTGGTCCCTAGGCCTCTTGGGCGGGGGCTCGTATCTGCCCATGGAGGGGGAACCAAAGGCTGCGGTCTGGGCTTGTCCTTGGCCAGCGGGACATACAGAGCGAGTGTCTACAGAGTGGTGCGGGAGTCCTTCATCCTGTGCAGACGAGTGTCTGTCTGGTCCGCGAATAACGCCTTGCCATCAAATGGTAGGTCTTGCATTAAGGACTGGGATTCAACTGACAGCCCTGACAGGGAAAGCCACGACGCCCGTTGCATGGAGATAGCTGTGGCCATCGAATGAGCCGCCGTGTCAGCTGCATCCGAGGCGGCCTGGAGAGCTGCTTTCGCTGCCGCCACACCCTCATCAACTAGAGCCCTGAACTCCTTCCTGTCCTGCTTTTGGAGGGAGGGCTCGAATTTTGGCAAGGAGCCCACAAGTTAAAGTCATACCTGCTCAGGAGTGCTTGATGGTTTGCAACCCTGAGCTGGAAACTGGCAGAGGAATAAACTTTTTCCCCAAAAGTGTCCAGTCTCCTGGCTTCCTTGTCCTTGGGGGTTGGTGCGGGCTGGCCGTGTCGTTCACGGTGGTTGACTGACTCCACCACCAATGAGTTCGGGGTAGGGTGAGTGTAAAGGTACTCATGCCCCTTTGTTGGCACAAAGTATTTCCGTTCTGCCTTTTTGGAAATGGGCGGCAGAGAGGACGGGGTTTGCCATAGTCCAATTGAAATGTTGGCTACCCCTTGGTGAAGCGGTAATGCCACACGGCCCGGTGCCAAGGAGGAGAGGACATTAAACAAGTTGTCCAAAGGTTCCTCCATCTCCTCCGCCTGGAGCTGGAGGTTGGTGACTACCTGCCGGAGGAGCTCCTGGTGTGCCTTGAAGTCCTCCTGAGAAGGAGGGGGCGGTGCCGCTATGGACTTGTCCGGTGCCGACGGGACGACTGGGACGGCCCTTAGTGCATCGGGCGGTGGCGGTAGGTCACACTCCACGTCCTGGTCTGGGTGCGGTGCCGGTGGCGTGGTCCTCGAGGACTGGTCTCGGTGCCGAGGCGAGGACGCCGAGTGGGCTTGGGATGCCCCAGCCACAGAGCGGGGCCCCAGCGGTGCGGGCGCCTGGGGCCACAGTGCCCACTGGCACCACTGTCCTTGCCATGGCGCCTCTTGCCACTGAGTCATCTGGGGTCCTACCAGGGTTACACGTTCCTGGGGGACAGTGCAGCCCAGGGAGGGACGGCTGGGCACCGAGGCAGAGGTGGCCGAGGAGCGCATGGTGCCGTATGAGCGGCTTGACCGGTCCTGTCCCTGTCGGGTCTGGCCCCGGGATTTAGACCTCGACGACGATGAAACGTATACATCGGAGGTGCTATCTCTGGTGTCCCATCGATGGCCGCGGCTACAACTCTTCAGTGCCAGTGACTGTCCGGATACACTCCGAGCATGGCACGCGCCGTGAAATGGTCGGCGGTGCCGATGGCGTCGAGACCTGCTATCACTTCGGCTGGACGAGGAGCGTTGACGCTTCCTGTCTTGGCGTCTGCGGCTCCTGCGGGCCGAGGAGGACTCCGGCGACTTGCTCCCAGGCGACCCCGACAACAGAGTGGAGGTCTGTCGTGGGCTTCGGGAAGGCCCCGCGGATCAAGCAGAGACCTTTACCTCAGACCTGGCCGGTGATGGCTGGTGGGCGCCCAGCGGTGGCTTTCCGTGGGCCTGGGGGCCCGGCTCGGGTGGCCTGCTTGGAACCGGCAGGACAAGGATACCGCACGCTGCCTGAGCAGCCTCCGGCGTCGACGGAATCTGCATCATTGGGGAGGCACTCGCTGACGGGGCCGGACTACTCCGCTCCACACAAGTCGGAGGTCTGGGTCCCGAGGGGGATCGTGGGCTGCCCAACTTGGGTCTGGCCTCACCCCTGTCCTTGTCTTGGCGCTGCTGGGTCTTGGCTTGCTTCTTAACAGGGGAGCAGTGCCAACTGGTGGACGGGGCGTCGCTCCGCACCGAGGACGCGGTGCCCAGCGCCGGGTCGGTTCGGCGCACCGGTGCCGGGGCCAGTGCCAACTCCATAAGTAGGACCCGGAGATGGATCTCATGTTCGCGCTTAGTCCGGGGCTTGAAGGACTTACAGATTTTGCAGCGCTCAAATTTTGTGGATCGCTTCTGGGCATGGAATTGCGACAGGAGTCGCACGACTTGAAGCCTGGGGCTCGGGGCATGCCCCGAGCCAGGCTACCAACTGTAGAAACCAGTAACGGTCAAAGATCGTACTACTAAGGAAAATGCTGCAGCAATGCTGGAGCACAAGTTCTGAGTACCTTCACTGGTGGCAAGAAGGAACTGAGGGTGGGGGGAACGCGCAGCCCCCTTTATGGCGCGATATGTCGGTGCCACTCCAGGGGTCGCAGCGGTGCTCCCCACTACAGGTACTGCTAAGGGAAAAACTTCCAGCACCGGTGCACGTGGCGAGCACACACACCTACTGTGGAATACACATGAGCAATCACTCGAAGAAGAACTAACCCTTGCCTCTTGAGGCACAGAGTGGAAAGCATCTACTTTAAGAAGAGAAAAGATGACCTGCCAAATCACTACCTGATGTTGTGTTCTGGAGGGCAATCTAAAGAGAGCTGACAACTAAATGTTTTATCCCCCCCTTCCTGTATCAATTTGAATCAAAAGGTATAATAGGCCAACAAGATAAAAATGCTGCTAATCTGCCCTCAACCTCTCTCAAAAATCCCTATGTGAGGGGCATGAGAGTCCCAACTGTGATTAGAACTGGCTATTCAAAGGCTTGTGTGCTTGGATCGAAACCACACATATATATATATAGTAAAAGAGGGTGAGCCTCCTATGGGCAAAAGAGAGCACAAACATATCTATGGGCTACTTGATTACTGAACAGCAGCAAACTGTCCATTTAATGGAGATCTTGGTGCAGACAATCACCATGTCAGCCTTCAGTCTGAGCTTCTGTTTCTTAGAAATAGATGATGTATTTTCTGCTGCTCAGACAATACGGGAATAAGGCAGGCTGGAGAAGGTATATGAAAGCGGGAGATTCTGGAATTGATCATAACTGCTAATGACCAGATTAGCTGGATGTTGTGTCCTGCAACCTTGAGAGATCATTTTACCTTGCGCAATGTCCGTGCAGGCAGTGCTGGAGGAGCATCACTGAGCTGGTGGTGGAAGGCATCAAAGTGCAGTGAGTAGTGACCTGAAATGAGACAAGGAATAAAATATTAATAAAGAATTGTAGCTGGGGGCTCACAGATCTGTACAACCTCAAGGCAGTAAGAATTCACTGTTCTAGCCCTCTGTAACATCAGGTAACCAGGTCCAACTGCCGACAGCCCCATCTCCAGTCCAGACTTTACCATATATCCTGGAAAGCAATCCTTGTAATGGGTAACCTGAAGTGTATCTGTTACAAAGTGCAAATGAGGAGTTTAGTAACAACAACAGAATTCTACCCACCGCTGTTATCAAGGATTTCATGGCAAGACAACAGGCTCCTAAACGCTGAATGTCTGGAAACACAATTAATAGCCTTAAGCTACTGCTGAGGATAGTCACAGACAAGAAGCCAAGACAGCTTACACCACTCATAAACCTAATTCTAGTCCCAAAACACACTTACGACCTTAATGCTGCAGCTGATGAAATTTTAAGTATTATCTAATAGTCAACCAAGCAGACCAAATAGCCTTCTCTCCCTGCACTCCTTACAAAAGGCTCAGATAAGTCAATGTTGGCTTTCATGTGGCCTAGGTTTATCTGTGCATGAGCACAGGACTTATCAAGCGGACCTACTGGGGATTTCCTTACCATGGGGTAGGCTTCGGGGAGGTACTGGTGGGGCCAAGATGCTCCCAACGTGGGCAGACAGGAATGGCAGGGCCTCTCTGGTTCCGCTGTCTAGGCTCCAGCTGCTGGGCGCTGCTGGCACAGCTGAAGGATGGAAACAGATTGAACTTGGGTAACATTACATTACAAGTTTTTCTTGGGGCTGGAGGCAATGGCCTTTCTCCATTCCTCAACTGAGTATGTGGGTCTGGCTCCTTGCCATTTGATGTAGTACCTGACCACAAGGTGGACCTGAAGGCAGCAAGCACAAGAGAAGCTGTGCGCTCTTTGGCTGCAAGGATGGGTCAGACTCCAGGGCCAGGGTGAATTAGGGGACTGCGATCTACAGAAAGGTGATTATTTTAAATTCAAGGGTAAAGAGAAGTAGAGTACCAGCATAAGTGGCAGAAACCTCACTAAACACAATAAAACCTATTACTGCACCATAATGGCTAGGTGGAGGATGACTAAGCTAATCATATCTGAACATAATGCAACACAAACATTAACTTTACTAGGCAAAAGAGTTAATCACTAGCTATGATAACAATTCTTCAAAATGTGGTTCTAAGGAATCAGATAATCCTATTTCAGAATTACCATCAGAAGACCTGATTTTCTTTAGTCAAAGAAGACAAGAAAGCTTTCCCATCTTCACAATCATATAATACATACTGGTTACAATCTCTAAATGCCTTCAGTTTTGCATGGAAAACAACTCAGGCAGAGAAACCCAAAGTAATACATTCAGATCTGAGAAGCAATAGCTTTTTCCTTCTAGGCTGAGTGACATTTGAAATGTCTGGAAAGATATGAACTCTTGTTATTAAAGAAAATACACACTTCTTTCTTTCAGACACACTGCACCACTTTCTTGATCACAAGAAGCAGCCAATAAACTAATCAATGTGCCGGAACAGCGATTTTATCTGTTTACTGCTGTGTTGGTTATTCTAAAACTGTTTAATATCTGAAGGGGGAATCAAATGATTTGGAGAGCCTAACAAAGAAAAAATGAAATGAAAAAGTTCATCACCTTCAGATACGGAAGATAGATCCAGTACAGAGAGATTAATTCTTCTGGCATAATTCTCTGTGTAGACAGGAATTACCTTTGATTAAAGCACCTATGTTTTGATGCACTGTTCTTCTGTTTCTAGAACAACCATTCTTTTCTTCATCTCTTTCAATTTTTTTCTTACCATCTCAAGCCTATTCTCTACTTGTATTATTTTAACAGACACTGAAACTAGTTTTGATTAAAAATATTAGACCTTCCTTGCAGGCTCTGGATGACAGAAAATACGGGTTCTAACAATAGGTCTGACAGTAGAAGATGAAAATACATGTGGGGTTACAAAAAGCTGATGATTTATCAGTGAGTCCATCTAGCGGCTACTAATGCCAAGTAGCAAGTGGAAAATGCAACAGGGACTATAGCGCAATAGATGCCAATGTCTGTTAGTCTATAAGGTGCCACAGGACTCTTTGTCGCTTTTTTCAGATCCAGACTAACACAGCTACCCCTATGATAATAGGTGCCAATGGAATTTTAGTTACAATTTTTTTTCTAATGGGACCTTATCCTCATTCCTCTGCATCTGTTTTGGGGACATAATTGGATGAAAGTAGTAGGTGCTAAGGGCCTCCACCGGCAAAAAATAATCAAAGAGATGCTCAGTTGGCCTAGAATATTTTATAGGCCTTAAACTTAACTAAAGTTAATGGCAGCTGGGGGAGGGGGATAGGGTAGGAAGAGGAGATATGCCCAGGAAAGAGCTTGCATCTTGGAGAGGGGAAGAAATGCCCTTCAGTCCCAGGAGTCACTGACCTGTGAATATTTCACTCTTAACATGACAGGTCTTGTATATTTTCCATATTTCTGTACTTGGTGAGGGGTTTTTTTAAGGATCGGGGGCTCCACCTCCAAATCCATCAATGTCTAACCTTGGACTACACATGTATGTTCTGGAAGAGGATTGGTGATCTTGGAGAAGCTTAAAAATTCCCTAATCTTTTCCCCAGTCCAGGAAAATGTTTTACTAATGTATTTCAGAAGATCATCCCATCAAAATATATCCTCTATTCACATGAGTGTCAGCCCCAGGCACCTGGCCAAATTCCAATCTTCCTTCCTGATTCCACCAGCCATTCAACTGCATGAGCAAATATTACTTACCTTGTAAATCTGCTTCTCAGAACACATCATCTTGCAGGATTCTCACTCCTGAGTCTCAGCTCCCTAGTGTAAACAGGCAAAACTCCCCAAGCTTTGAAGGGTTTTTTATGGTCCCTAAAGGTCTGTGGTAGTGGATAGGAATAAAGGTCACCCCACAACCAAGGTTGTGTGCCACAACTCTTTTATATATTGCCCATGGAGCTTTTTAATTAGTTCCTGATTCAGCAGGAAGCAAAGGCTTCCCAAGAGAAAAAAAAGAGCCAATTATAAAATCAAAATGATTGCAAAATTAGACCCTCAAACATGAAAGATGTAAAGATAAACACACCTTAAAAACACCAATCCAAAAGTGGAAGGGGGGGGGGGAGAAGAGACCAAGTGAGAATCCTAAAAGAGGGTGGACCAGCTCCAGGGATGCACCTGATCTGTACAGAGTGCAGGTCAGGGAAGTATGTGCAAAGATGGCATCAAGTTCAATTCTGCACTCACCTAACTCTGCTGTTTAGAATAGCCTGAGGATTACTCTGGTTTATACCAGCTGCAAATAGCCCCAATGGCCAAAAACACAGCCAGGGATTGGTGTAGTGCAGGGTCATCCCAGCTGTGTCCTTTTCTCTGCTACACTTGCATCAGGAAAAGGGAGTTGAATAAGAACCTCTATGCTGGCTCTACACCACCAATCATCTATACAGATGGATGAGGAACCTTGGGTTGCCTAAGCCAGTCTTAAGGCCAGAGTCCATCTGAGGCCTTTTTCTCCACACTTGACCTGTCATTTAGCCATTGAAGATCTGTTAATCTGCAACTCAAAGAGTTCCAGTCGTGGACACTTGGCACAGGGTCTGAGGTAAGTGCTGCAGGCAACCTTCAGTGCAGCCTTGGAAATTACCAGGATCAATATGGCTACATCTCTGAAGACATATCACTGCAGAGGCTCCCTGGATCTGTCTTCCAGCTTTGAAACTGTATGGAAAGGGGACAACTGCAGGTTTCGATCTGAAGTTGGGGGCTTTGGCAGTGATATACTGGAGAGCATCTTCCTGTGATTTCTTTTGGGGAAACAATGCCTGTCACAGAATGGTGATTATATATGATATAGAGAAGAATAAAGTCAAGTGGTGTCTCTTCTAAGGCAGATAGTGAGCTGAGTTGAGGCTGACATGTCCAGACAAGACAATTAACATGCCAAAGCACGGTTGTTGGATCAGAACAGAAAGTCAACTGCCTTGGGCTGCATTTAGGATTTCCTGAAATTCTCCCATTATTGTTCTAGCACTGATGCAGTTCAACTGGTAAAAGCAACTGTGGGCATGCTAGTATAGACCAGCCACAGGTATATTTACCAGTTTGGTGCTCTATAGTATAGGGCAGTGGTTCTCAACCAGAGGTACACGTACCCCTAGGAGTACTCAGAGGTCTTCCAGTGGGCACATCAACTCATCTAGATATTTGCCTAGTTTTACAACAGGCTATATAAAAAGTCAGTGCAAACTAAAATTTGATACAATGATTTGTTTATACTGCTCTGTATACTACACACTGAAATGTATGTTACAATATTTATATTCAAATTCATTTATTTTATAATTATATGGCAAAAATGAGAAAGTCAGCAATTTTTCAGTAATAGTGTGCTGACACTTGTATTTTTATGTCTGATTTTGTAAGCAAGTAGTTTTTAAGTGAGGTGAAACTTGGGAGTGCGCAAGACAAATCAGACTCTTGAAATGGATACCGTAGTGCCACCATTAAATATAATATGCAACCGTTGTATGCCACAAAATGGTTACCAAGCAACAATGTTGCTACTTGAGAGTACAGAGCAAAGGTCAAATGTTAAACCTACACAATGTTCTACTGATCAATAGTAATTTTTCCCTGATGGGACTAAAATTGACATTCATAGTAATATTCTGTACTAGGATGATAACCACAAGCACTAAACTAGCATTTCTTTCTTTTCCTTTCCTTGAGGCACTTTTGTTAAAAGGGAGAAATCAATAGCACTGATCAGAGGGAATCTGAAAAACAGATGTAAATCTCATCCACTAGCCCATTACACTACGTGGATCTGTCCCAGCCCATATCAGTGCCTAGAACTACTGTACATGATCCTGTTGATGGATGGTTCAGAGTCTGGCTTCTGCCTGTCGGAAACAACACTTTATCCAGCTATGCTCCAGGGAGGAAACTACCATTGAAGCTCCTATTGCCCTAGAGCAGCCAAACCATCTGGTGGAGCCAAGTGCACGTGGTGGTCAAGTTCAGCAGTAGGAAAGCAATAGCTGAACAGTTTTTCCCTTCAGCAGCTGGTGTCACTCTGCTGTCAATGAGAATTAGTGCAGAGGGCTTCTCACAGGAGAAGGGCTTGGACAAGTTCACAGGACATGAACATTAACAAAAAACTAGTTGGTTAATGGCACTCTTGACTTACAGACAATGGTAATGGTTCAAAAGGTTGCACATATGCCTGCAGCTGCATTTATCTACATTCACAACATGGCTCAGGAACTGGGGTTCCCTGATCGTCCCCTACAGAGGATTATAAAACATTCCTAAAGAGACTAACCAATCAAGCACCTGCCCTTGATATGTGCATGAGGCATTTGTTTTTGCCAATAGGGATTCCAGTTTGTAACTTAAAAAAACCACGACAACTTGATTTAACAAAATGTTCATCTCTACTAATGACTATCAAATGTCAAAAGCTACCTCACAGGATAGTTTGGAGAATCTTTTGAAGAAAAAAAGCTCAATACACATATGTATTATCTTTGGGCCAACTCCTGCAGCCTTTACTCAGGCAAAGCTCCCACTGAACTCAGTGAGAGTTTGTCTGTGTCAGGACTGCAGGATTTGGCCCATTGTCACTAACAAATGGTAAAGAGCTTCTTTAGTGGAGGCATTTGTGCATCTCTTTGTAGATCTAAAGCATCAGCACAGTTGTCTTTAGGCTGGCAGAAGCTCCCAGCTTAGTGAAACTCTCAGCCTAAGAATGTGACAGGATGTACAGAGGTGGAAGTCCATAAATGTACAAGCACAAACAGAGTAACACTACTACAAGATGCAGGAACATAATTAAGAAAAGGAATACCTTTCTCAGCAACAGATAGATTGGGATCACTGCAAGGTTTGCATGGTCCGATCACTTGCTGGATCAAGGCGCGCTGAAAATTTGGAGGCTAAAGACGAGGGGAGGCAGCATAGAAATGTGAAAACAGTTACAGATTTGCCAATATAGAAACCTGTGATAGCTGAAGAGCCCAAGATAAAAATCCATGGAAAGCTCTAGCCTCTGAGCTTTCACATGAATGTCAGTAGGCAAGGGGCAGATGGGAGACTGTTTGGAGGCACTGCATTGTTGGAAACCATTTTAGCCATTTATTGGTTAAATGTCCCTGGAAGTTTTAACTCTTAAAGCCTCATAAGGGTTGGGTTCTGGTTACTCCAGAAACCACTTCTTGACCTCCATGGCCCTGGTATATTCCACAGCAGCCAAGATCAGCTAATGCAACCGACCTCATTGCTCCCTAGGTTTATTTGTGAAAGGATGGGTTGTTCTCAGTGAGGGGTGTTAACTATGGAAGTTGCTTCCCCCATCATTTGAGAGATCTGATTTTTTGACCTTCGTATCATGCTGCCAGGCTCAGCTGTGCTCCCAGCCCTTTCTGGATGGTTTTCATGAGATGCTTACTGATGGGATGATGGTAGTGTTTTGAGAGTATATTTGCTTTGAAGAGCTCTGGGTTTTGAATCATGAATTAATTTGTCTTTGGTTTTGGGAGACTGGGTACTATATTTCATTTATCAATTGTGGTGGCATTTTATAAAGTTGATTCATTTATTTCTAGTTCTAAAATTGTGCCCATCCCATGCTCTAGGCTCCATGTACAAAGTCAAGTCATGTGACAGTTTATGATGGATCAGTGTTTACTGGTCAGGTTTAAAGTAAGAAGAGCCCACCCCCACAATGAGGACCCACAATTGCAACATACTAATATGATGCTGATTTAGTGTATCAAAAATAGTGGTTCTGAAAGGGGGAGAGAGACAAGTATAGAAATCTCTGCACAATCTGATGAGCCACTCTGTAAATGTAGCTAAGTCAGTGGTTTCTGGATGCAGGGGAAGGTAAAAAGGGAAGAAGTGAAGATATTTACAAATGACAATAGTGGATCTATATGGTAATCACAAATACACAAATGCCACAGCTGCTGTACTAGGAAAGAACAGTAAGTCTATTACCTGCCCATTTTCCATGATAGCTGCAGGATACATGGCACTGCTTGGTCGGTCCCGGTGGGTTGGCAGCAGCATCATCAGCTCCCGAGTGTGGCGGTACTTATCTGGTAGAGAGGGAGAGCCTGTAAACAAGTGAGAATAATCACGTACACATGACAAACCACACAAAGATCTCAGCTTGGCCCAGTGATCTAGTCCTCTTTCTTTCCTGGGACTCATGAATTACCCCAACAATTTGGATGATGATCTTACAGGACTCCAAGAAGACATGGTGCTGAGCCCACTTAGCAGCTGACTGTAGGTAGGTGCAGTAATAATCCATTTGTTATACAGTTAAGATATGGACACGTTAGGTTTAGGATGTACAACTCAGCAAGTCACTAGCTGTACATTACAAGCCACTTACCCCTAAAATAAAAATGTAACTGTCTCTGTGGAATCAGCAGCAGTTGTGGTTTAATATGCCTACTCTTCCCTGGCCTAATAAGATATCAGAGGTATGTATTCAGATGCCATAAAACTGAATAAGTATGAATGGGATATGAATTTGGGATACAAATACAACTGATGCTGGAATTTGCCAGTGGTTTGAGCATTGGCCTGCTAAACCCAGGGTTGTGAGTTTAATCCTTGAGGGGGCCACTTAGGGATCTGGGGCAAAAATCTGTCTGGGGATTGGTCCTGCTTTGAGCAGGGGGTTGGACTAGATGATCTCCTGAGGTCCCTTCCAACCCAGATATTCTATGATTCTATGTGTGTCAGAGATGGTACAGATAAATGGTGATTCCCATGCCTGGCTTTCTCTTTATTAATATTAGCCAGATAAAAATGGAATGTTCTTTGACAGTGTTTTTCAATCCTTTTTCATTTGCAGATCCCTAAAAATTTTTGAATGGAGGTGAGGTCCACTTGGAAATCTTAGATATAGTCTGCGGACCCTCAGGGGCCGTAGACCAGAGGTTAAAAACCACCATTCTGTGAATTTGAGGGCACTTTGTTTATCACTGTGCTTTCAGATGACACATAATTACCAAGCAGCATGCTGCTATTCTGAGAATACGTCAACAGAGGTTTGCCAACATGCTGGTCTATAGTAGGAGGGTATTTGCTCGTGATCCAGTAGTTGTTTGTAATCTGGATAATTGCCAGGAGATATTACATTACAGAGGGTCTATGTGTTTCATGTTAAATATTTATTGGAGTACAGCATTTTTTACCAGCCTACTTTGTTTTTTTACATTAGGCACCATGTTCTGCAAGGAGCACACCACACACCAATGGGCTTTCTGATGTATATAGCTACAATGGTTGTGCCACAAGAATGATTCACATTAATGGGATGGCTTGTGGATGTCTGGTAATACTGATACACACACACTCATGGATACACAATAATATGCAGAAGTTAACACTCTGAAGCTGCAGAAGTGAGCTATAACTTGTACTTATTATTTGTGCCACAAACACACACTTCACAGGCAGCAGCACATAGCGCATTACTCAGCCATGCCTGCTTTTGGGAAAGACATGCCCCCTTTTGCAAACTTTCCACAACCACACGCGCATTACCTGAACAGCACTCCAACATTAATGAACAAAGGCTTTTTTTTTTCTAGTTAATGCAGCTTTTACACCAATAACAGCATAACATGCACCTTTTTGGACTGATATACAGAACACCGTGGAGGGAACAATGTGGCCAGCAGAGTGCAGAATAAAATCCTATACTTGCAACAATTTCACCAGGGGGTGTAAGGCCCAGATAAATTTAAACCCCAGCACTGCATAAGTAAATGCAAAATATTTGCAACCTAACTCCAATCACAATTTCTCCACAGACATAAAACAAATACATTTAGACATTCTTAATTCTTATACACATTATCTTTAAAAAGACAGCTTTAACACTATACTGAGTCTCTTTTACTCACATACACATCACAGATAGTCCTATTTCTGCATGACAGATATAAAAATACTGAACTTATGGGGGTGCCAAGAACTGCATCACAGCACAAACCACATTGCAACTTTTTTCCCTTTTATTTATCAGCTGATCCTCATTTTTCTTGTCGTGGGAGCAAATTGCAGCTATATGTGCCATCAGTTTAGAAAGAATCACAAATCCCACAAGGCTTTGCATTTCATGATCTTTAAAATCCCTTGCTCTATGCTGCTTTATGGTGGCAGAATGTAATTTTTAAAACCAGTCCTCCTTTTTGTGCCCTCAGTTTGGAATTGCAAATAACTGTGGTTAAAAATGTGATTATAAATGGTGTCTCAGCATCTGATTTGCTGGCAGAATTGTGGGTGCAAAAAAAGTGGTTCATTTGAGATCCTGTTAACAATCAGGACTGCTATCTTGGACTTGGCTAAGGAGCATCTTCTCCGAGGCCCCCTTTTGAGTCAAGTAAACATTTTAAAACAAACTCAAACCTTTTAAAAGCTTCCAGAGCTGCCATAGGGATATCCTTCAGAACAACATTGCAATGCAGTGGCCCTGCAGACTTTACAAAACTCAGCTGAACGTACCATTGATCTCCTATGCTTTTCAGCTTGTAGCCCTGCACATGTAATGTGTGCAGTGTTTTACACACTGTTTATAGGAAAGCAAAACTTGGTTTATCAGGGCCTGGGGAGGCTTTTCATTTTACTCCAACATTTTTAACCAAATAAAATATTAAAATTGACACAAAAATACTGGTTTTATCAACTCATTTTCAATTAATTGAGGAATCTGTAAATTCCTGCTAAATCCTTCTTGATTCTCCCAGTTCTATTGTTTTTTGAAACAATTTGCTTCCAGCCCCAAACATGAACGTTTAGCTCTGATGAAGATTTTTATTTACTTTAAATGCCAAGTACAGAGACTCTTTTACCATGCTGAGTAAGAAGCTGGGACCTTTGCTCTCTGAGCCTGAGAAGAAGGCTGTCTAGAGGAAGCATTGAGAATGACTTGACAGCTCCCACAGTGATTACTCAATATGAGCTGCCTTTAAAGTGTATTGAACATGCTCCAATCCAGCTTTAAAATGATTCCTTTTAAAACAACATTACATACCTCCTTATAGGACTCCCTGTTATAACTCCTGGTTAAGGAACCTTGGCTCATATCTTCTTTTAACCCCATTAGAATTAGAGTAGTGCCTCATCTAAGCGATCTCAAGGGGAGTGAATGCAAACTCAAAAATTCTCATTGACCTTGTCTACAACACAGTGCTGCTCTTTCGCTGGGGCTGGGACACGGTGCTTCCCAACGGGTAAACAGGTAGTGCTGCACCAGGCTATGTTAGGGTTTGGGTCAGGCCAGGCAAAACCAGAGAGGAACACACTCTTTAAATTGGCAAAGAACAGTAATTTGTAATGTGTTTCTCTATCACTAGTGCAAGCTAATGGAGTTCTTACTGTATCTTGATTACAACATTTCTTTATAATATTCAACTCCCTGGATCCTGGCTGGAGGTGATGTGCATTATAACATCACTGTAAGGTTTGCTGTGTACTATTTAATCTGTTCTTTGTGGATATGATCAGTATCAATCTATTTTCTTGCTGCCTATCTTCCCGCAAATAAAATGTGAAGTTATTAATACATATTTCTATTACTTAGTTTACTTGGCTTATTGTTGACCCTCAAACAACTGGTATTTTTCTCCTTCAGCGAACAGTGCCACATTTTGGGAGTGGGGGATTAGCTCTACCATCTCCAGGGCTGGGGGATTCAAATTCTAGTTGAACCCTAAGTGCAAGTGACCTGGATGGTCTCTTGATCACTGTGGAAATTAATTCACCTCACAAAGCCACCTCTCTGCTCAGACTGACGTTAGTAAGCATGCTGCTGGACAGGACTGCAGCTAACAGGACAAGCTGATGCAAGGATTAGGGAAATGGGATGCAGTTTTTCACCTCTAGGTTACGATGTGAACCTACAGATGAAAGTTTTTAACAACTGATAAATACTAGAAGTAGAAACAGAGGTAACCAACATTCAATCTAGGACCAGAGGTGACAAGAACTGTTAAATCTGAGAAATTCTAGGTGGCCATGTGAAATGAGTTGATAGCCTTAGTACAGCTCCTGACTGATGCAGCATCTCAATTGGTAGCTTTGTCGGCAGTCTCAGCAGAAAGGCCAAGGATTGAACGGGTCATGGAGACTGAACTATCCTCTCACCTCTAGAGGTGGTCCCTCCAGGACAGAGATGAGGCACATTGGTGGGGGCAGTGTGGGGAAGCTTGCACTGCTGCCGCCCGTGCTGTATCTGTTCTGTGGATAAATAGAGGGCTTCAGCCTCCAGTGTTGTCAATCCAGCACCTTTCACCAGCACTAAATTAAAAAGAATATAAATAAATATAAAAAGGATAGAGGTGCATTGGCAGAGCTGCATGTGAAGTTTGCATGGTACTTTGCCAGTGCCATCACTCATTTTAACAAGCATCAAATTCCCCCAATTAAAAAAACAAAACAAAAAAAAGTCAAACAAAGAAACCAAAGCCATGTTAATTTTAACACAGTGGAACTTTTATATAGTGAAGTTGTTTTTCCTGCTGATCAATTTCACTCTAAATGGAGCTTTCATAATAACCAGATTAGAAACTTGCAAATTGCGAAGTATGGAAAAGATCTAAGACTTTCATTCCACGTTACCAGCAAATGGAGTTTCATAATAATTCATTAGACTGTGGAGGTAAACACTGCTTTTTGCCTAACTGAAAATGGACAAAACTGGCAAGGAAGAAATGTTTTATCTTGAACTTATCAAAATGTATTAGTAAGAATGGCGAGTAAAACAAAATAAAATAAATAATATCTGAAAATGTCCCTTCAAATAATACACTTTTAAAATCACTGTTTCTCTTGCTGTTTCCTTATTTGTAGTAAGTAGAGTTATCTAGTTCTCATCTATGGGAGGTGCTGTTGACTTAAGCATCAGCCAGACATCCTTTTATATTGTTCATCACTTTGGTTCCTAAGCAACAGCAGAGACCACAGCTGAGGGGGCAGTTGGTGATGCTGGGAAGTCAGACAGCTCAGAACGACTGGCAAAGCCTGTGGCTGTGAATACCGGATTTCTGAACTGGAAAATAGCTTGAAATGCTGCAAGCATCAAAATCTCACACTGCTCCCCCAAAAAGATTCAGGACTCATAGAACTAGCTGGGAAGGTTCATTTACAGAGCCTTCCTGACATGACAGCACCATATTCAGTTCCACCTTCTGTTCCCTGCTATGTCACCTTTATTCTAATTACTTTATTATTTGTGTTGTCATTATTTTCCTCCAACTCTTGAAAATTAACCAAGCTATTTTTATTGACATAAAGAATCCCATTCCTCAGCTTTCTATTCCACCTGATCCTTCCGTTAAATCATCCTGCTGCATTTCTGACATGGCAACAGACTGTGATTTATGACTTCATTGTAGGATCATGCACAAAGACAGGCTGGACTGAGAGGAAAAAAGCTCTTATTCTAGTTAAGAAGAAACAAATTCTGCCCCCTCTTCTGTGTTTACAGAGACCCCTGGCCACAGTGCAACCAGTGGAATTCTCTTGTGTGGGGAAGAGGGAGAAGATCCGAGCAACTGGAGCCAAGCTCTACAGCCTGTACTATAGAGGCCTTCTGCATGAGCCTGTGGAGGGAGATGCAGCAGTGGCTGGGGTGGGGGCAGGTGGACATGCAACAGAGCTGCCACAAAAGGGGAAGGAAACAACTTGAATGGAGGTTACTAAAACTCTGAAGCTGCAGTAGCAGACATGGAATGACTCCGCTGCAGTTCTGAGGCCTGGGGAAAAGGAGATTCACTGCACTAAGCCTCGTTATCCTAAGAGGTAAGGGAAAACAAAACATTAAGAGGTAAAGTATTTTGTGTTTGTTTTTTTTCTTGTCTTCAAGTATGATCCAGCATGAAAGTCCTCTTTTAATTCTGGTATCTCTCATTCCAAGCCCTTCAACCTTCATTGTATACATGAATGTTAACCCATCTCATGACTTCTTTAGAATGGTCTAATTTCCTTAAAGACACAAGATTGAACTTTGCCTTTTCTTGATATTCCACTTCTTGCAAGCACTGTAACAAATAATTATTTACATCCTTCAGTAGATTGTTTGCCACAGGGCAGTATGGCATCCTTTCCCTTACAATGTCTGTGATGCAAGTGGTTGGCTCAATTGTGTGGAAGCACATTCAAAACCATTACATAGCTAAACTGCCTGAAGTCAGCAAGTACCAAAGGTATACACTCCACCAAATTTTGCTGAAAAGATGACTGAGACCACTTTGGGGGTTACACAAAACATTTCAGAAGAAGTCACTGTTGAAAAAACAATCCCTAATAAAGTAAAATCGTTAAATTATTGTATATTTCAAGCATCTCAGCAGCACAATTTATAAACTGATAGGACAAGAGTCAGGGCCATTTGGGTTCCTGAACTCTTCACTCAAAGTCCCTCCATTCTTACCTCGTGCACTGGGAGGGGCAGAGTTAATCATCTGGGATGGTGCAGAGTGGGTAGAGCTCAGGCTTGAAGTGGAAGGACTGGCCTGGGACGAGGATAAAACAGAGATGTTGGTGACTGAGCCTTGGTACCTGGAGTTAGGGTAAACAAGCTGCAGGAGGCAGAGAAATCAGGAAGACAGAAAACTGAGCAGACTGGTGCATTATATATTCACTTGCCTCAGATCATCAAATGTGTAGGGAATGTGACCTCTGTCTAGGAAATAGTCACAATTAAACTCATTATTAACACTGTACAGTCATTGGGCTGTGGGACCCATTTCAGCCTTTCAGATTGATTGTCATGGATTGAAAGAGATATTACTAACTAAGATAAGCATCTCAACAAGAAAAACTAACTATTCTGCTCATTAGGTGATACCACACCCCTTATAAAGATGACCTTTACTTTGCTCTGTTCTTAGGCTACACTAGGAACTTTTAATTTACACCTATAGAAGAGTTAATAATATTTACCTTAGAAAGAAATCACTGGGAGCCATCTCTGCCTCCATGGCATTTCTATCAATCTTTAGGAGATACTGATCTATACACCAGGTCAGACTCTATGGGATTATTGCTATATCTTTTCAGTTCATAGCTATAGATAAATCTAAGACAGAAGAGGTCTAAGTATGTCTTCTGTACATGTAAATGATTCTTGTCCCAAGTACTGCCTACAGGGCATGTTCAATTATATTCCTAGCAATAGGTCCTTGATGTTGTACGGCAGCTATACCTGCATGTGGTACATGTCCTCAGCGGTCTCCCCTACAGAACTGTCTGTTAGGATAACCAGGTTTCCTGTTTCACTGGAAGTATGGGAGGAAAGAGACGATGACGAGTGTCTGACTGAACCCAGCAAGTTCAATGGGCTAAAACAAAAACAGAGACAGTGGCAAAACAGGGTGCAAAGGTTAGACAATATTATTTTCCAAATCTTAGTTTTAAGTAGTGAGGCCTGATCGTCAAAGGTGCTGAATGCCTGCAAGTCCCACAGACTCTTGTGTTGAACACCTTTGAAAAATCAGGCCATAAATGCTTACCCCTTTCATTTTCATAGCAATGGTAATAAGAAACCAATACCATTACATTTCAGTTAGGTCATTCAAACTTCAATCTGGGGCCAAGTTGGCATCTTTCCAGGAACCTGAGTGCTACACCTAATTTGCCTCAAACAGAGCAGATTGAAACCGCTCTCGTTTTTAATGCTGAGATGCAACCTGTGGAGACAGCTCCCAGGAATGTTTCATCGAGCACCAGCAGAAGCTACTCAGATCAAGATGGAGCATTTCCTGCATAGTCTGTAGTCTCCGTGGTCCACACCTATGTATTAAAATTGAAGGCAACTGCAGCTGAATGTAGAACTCTATGGCCCAAATGGCCTGCAGGCTGCACTTTGATCTCTCATGATGTAAAATTACGTTGATATATTCCTCTCTTACTCTGAATCACATACATAATATACACAGTAGAATCTTGCTAAATCACACTGACAACTTGGAAGCCCTTTACAAGTTGATGACTTTTGAGAAAAGTGCCATCACTTTGAGTGAGTGGTGGACTATGGAATTCTACCACACAACTTAACTTCTTGGATTTACGCACCTGAGAGTGAGTTGCTGCACCCTCTCCTACTGAACAAAGCTTTAAAAACAGCTACATGGACTCACTCTTCAAAAGGAAAAAACTGAGAATAGCAACTGAGACTTCACAACTCATTAGCATTCTTGTGTTTGTTGTTCTGTCTTGTGAGGCTATAACTCTTTTCAACTAACAGCACATTTTATAGATGCTAAAAATATTTGTTTGTATCCTGAAGTCCTGCTATCATCAGTTCTTGGGTTGGCTTTAGGGATGGGTCCTCAATCTGAATAAGAATCAAAAAGTTCAGATGCTTATCTAAACCTTATAAGCCTCTTAAATCTGAAAATTGGCCTGTATGATTTTATACCATTCTGATCTAATACCTTGAAAGCTTCTCTTATTGTATTTTGGTTCTAGTCTAGGCTGGAAATCAGAATTGTAAACACAACAATCTGAACATCTTTAGAACCTTAAACAAAGATTCAGTTTAAGTTCAGTTCCAAAAATAAGCAACAAGACTTTTTTTTTTGGTTGTCAAAGTATGTGTCTTATTTAACTTGAGCAGGCTGCCAATCCCTCATTTACATGTCAGAAATATTAAAAGTTTGGACCTTCAAAGTCATTGTGAATTTTGGGCTCTGAGAAAAACCTAAGTGCC